ACTCGGTCGGGGCTGGCTCCGCTGCGACCACGTGAAAACGTTTCCACGTCTCCCACGTGGGCACTTGTGAAGGCACATGGGGGCAAGTTGACGCTCTGCTCCAGAAATTTAGGGACAACGTACCTTTTTCAGAGGATTAATGGCGATATGATCTAAGGCTATTTGGCGACCGGAGGAAACGCTCCCGCTGCGTTGCGAGCTCGTGTATTTGGCGCGTCTCCAACTCGGAGGGTTCGCCACGGTTCCGAGGGCTTTGCCGGCCTCTTTCTGAATTTCCCCTTTTCCCCGCACTCGACGCCTGTTACTCTGAAAGCAGCAGCATGAGAACCAAGGTAAAAGGCGCCCTGCACCCTGCCACACGCGTGTGGTGTCCCCGTGTGCGCCTTCTCAGCGTTGACTCGCAGCCCGGTCCTTCCGTACGTGTCTTCCTGCTCCTCGGACTCCATGTCGTCCCGTAAAGCGGCCGACGCGCATTCACCCAGCCGGACCCGTGGTCTCCGCTGCCATCTCTCACTTCCCGTAGCGGCCGGGGGCCGCGTTGCTTTTTGTTTCCTTGGAGTCGTTTGTGAGGACGACTTGGTCGTACGTTTCTCTCATCGGCTCAGCCAGGTGGGCGTCCTCGCGGCCCGGCGGGCATTGCTGTCTTCCCCCGAGGCCCCGTGAGCACGGGTGCCCGCCCCGTTGCGGCCTGGGGTGCCCGCGGCCACGGGGAGCACGGTTGTCTCCTCGAGTTGGGTGACCCTGGTCGCTTGTGCCTGTTTTCTCACTTGCGCGTCTGGTGTGGGTTCCGGGTGGATGGCGGGTTCTCACGAGCAACGGTTTTGTGCTACTGCAAGCTCAGCGGGGACCAGACTTTGCCGTCTGAGAGGCCCAGGCGGGGGCTGAGCTGTGGGCCGGCGCCCTTGGGTGGGGACACTGGGCGCGAGGCAGGCTGAGCGGCTGAGCGGCGCCCTTCCCGTGCAGAGAGAAACTCGAGCCCAAGGAGCCGGTGACTTTGTCCGAGGTCGTCAGCGTGGGGCGGCTCCATCACGGGGAGAATCCGAAACCTTCGCGGCCCCCACCTCCCTCCCTCCTGACCGCGCTGCATGGTCAGGGCTTGGTCTTCACTGTTTCTAGACAGAGCGTTTGGTCCAAAACGAGCACTTTCCCTCCCCATTTACCCAGAAACGCTGGCCGGCAGCCGCGGGTCTGTGTAAACGCTGGTTGCTGTGTCCAGAAAAAGGACTTTGAGCTGATCCACGTAAACGTGGCATCGTGGGAAGAGCTCTAGCCTAGGACCTGATCTTGGAAGGACAAAATTTACAGGGAAGATTTTTAGAAAATCTTTTTTAGTTGAACATATTTGTGTTTTTTTTTTTTCTTTTAATCCAATTTTGATGTGACTTCAGAAGAGTTGCAGGAAAAGCACAGATTGTCCATGTAGCTTTTGCCTCAGGTGCCTAAATGCTAACACTCCCCCGTTGGCTGTGCAGTCCTCCCGCATCTCTGTCTCTTTCTCTCACACATTTTGCATTTTCTGTTCCTTTTCTTCGAGAGACAGGGTCTTGCTCTGTCACAAGGCTGGAGTGCAGTGGCGTCATCACAGCTCACTGCAGCCTCCAGCTCCTGGGCTCAAGCGATGCTCCTGCCTCGGCCTCCCGAGTACCTGGGATGATAGGCGTCACCACTATGCCAGCTAATTTTTAAATTTTTTGAGAGATGGGGTCTCACTGTGTTGCCCAGGCTGGTCTCGAACTCCTGCCTCGGCCTCACAGCCACCGGGGTTACGTTTGTGAGCCGCCACCCCAGCCTCGCCTTTTCTAGACCGTTTGGAATGAGTAGCGGTGTGATGCCCCTCCCAGGGTGCATTTCCTAAAACCAGGCACGTTGTCTTTCAAATCTTTGCAGTGTCGTTAACCCCAATCAGGAAATTGACGCTGACGCGTGAAGACCTGGTGCAGATTTCGTCCGTTGGCTCAGTGACGTTCTGTAGAAGAGACCCGGGGTTGTGGGCTGTGTCCCGGCGCCTCCTTCAGCCTGGAACTGCCCGTCTTCTGGGCATGTGGGGAGTTGGGCAGGTTTTGTGGGTTTCCCTTGGTTGGGTTTGTAGACGCTGCTCATGACGGCGCCCGCAGGACGCACCATGACGGCCGGATGCGGAGGCTGAGCGAGGTGTCCCTTCTCTGGGAGCTGACTGCCCGTCCCGTGACGCCGCTGGGATGCTGTTTCCCTCTCTGGCCTGTGCCCGTCAGCAGTGCCTGAGACCTCGATGTCCCTCTCCTGGTTCCATACCATGGTCCTGGCGGCCATCGGTGGTTCTTGCCCGCGGCGGCTGTGGTGACAATGGGGTTAGGGTTAGGGCAGGGGTTGGGGTCAGGGTTAGGGTTAGGGCAGGGGTTGGGGTCAGGGTCAGGGTTAGGGCAGGGGTTGGGGTCAGGGTTAGGGTTAGGGGTGTTGTGAAGATAGGGCTGGGGTTGGGGTCAGGGTCAGGGTTAGGGCTGGGGTTGGGGTCGGGGTCAGGGTTAGGGCTGGGGTTGGGGTTAAGGCTGGGGTTGGGGTCAGGGTTAGGGCTGGGGTTAGGGTTGGGGTGTTGTGAGGATAGGGCTGGGGTTGGGGGTCAGGGTTAGGGCTGGGATTAGGGTTAGGGTTGGGGTCAGGCTTAGGGCTAGGGTTAGGGTTAGGGGTGTTGTGAGGATAGGGCTGGGATTGGGGGTCAGGGTTAGGGCCGGGATTGGGGTTAGGGCGTTAGGGTTAGGGGTGTTGTGAGGATAGGGCTGGGATTGGGGGTCAGGGTTAGGGCCGGGATTGGGGTTAGGGCTGGGGTTGGGGTTGGGGTCAGGCTTAGGGCTGGGCTTGGGGTCAAGGTTAGGGCTGGGAGGCGGCGCTGTCTGCTACCCCTCCTACCTGGTGGGCTGGCCTCTGCCTGTGTTCGCCCTCTGTTCGCATCTTGGGGACCTTGGGCTCTTGCTGTGGTTCTTTACTGTGACTGGTTCTCTGATGCTGGGACGTCTCAGGTGCCGCTGGGAGCCCGTCCAGCTCTCTGCGCCCCCCTCCAACACAGCACCGTTGTCCTCAGGCGCCTCCTTGCTCTGTGGCTGGAGATGCTTCCGCTCGCGGGCACTCCCTGCCCGCCCTCGAGTCGCCCCCTCGCAGGAGCCCAGGGTTGTCTGAGGGGATGGTGCTCAGAGACCCAGGTCCGGTGCTGGGGTGCTCACGGCTCCTGGCACGCACCCCCTGCCAGGCCAGGAAACCACGCTTGCGCACACGCGTGTGCGGTGTGTGGGCGGCCTGTACGCTCCTGTGCGCGCGCAGACGCGGAACCTGGAGCTCGCGCAGACGCCTCGGGTCCCGCCCCGCCCAGCTCTCTGGCCGTCTCCTCGCAGGGCCTGACTCGCTCCCTGGGTGGAGAGAGCTGGCCCGTTTCCCACACTGTGTTTGGGGATCTGCCGTGAGGGCCGCAGGGCCATGTGGAGTGACACGGGTGTCTCCCATGCTGGTGGCCGGTAGGGGACTTGCTGAGCGCTTCCCCCGCCAGGTCCCCTTGCCTTGGGTGACACCGGTGGCATTTCTTTCCCAGCATGAGTGAGTCCTGGCTGTCGGCGGGGGCAGCTTGCTGTCACCCAAGGCAGGGAGCCCCCACGAGGTGGTCGCAGCCCCCAGGGGTGGCCGGCGCAGCCCGCACGGCACAGCCACTCCCTGTGAAGGACGGGGCTGGGCTGTCCGGGGGACCCGCCCTGGGTTTGCAGGGGCCTAAAACCCGGGACAGCAGCGGGGGACGGGCCTGGGCGTGGACCTGCAGCTGAACCACTGCTGAAACTGCCCTGGGAGCTGCGGTCAGCGCTCTGCCGAGCCCCGTGGGGAGGGTGGGGAGTGGGCGACCCGGCGGGCAGGGCCCGTCCTCCTGGGCCACCGCTCCGTCTGGCCTGGGCCATTTCTGCCGGCCCCTCCCCATCCCGGGCAGTCTGCGCGAGGCCCAGGGCTGAGTGGGACCAAGACCCGTGTGTGGAGCGTGGGCCAGGGGCCCCCCGGGAGCGGTTTTGGGCTCGCGGTTCCAGTGGCGAGGGGCGGGGTGCAGGGTGCTGGGCAGGGTCTCCGGAGTTTGGTGGCTCTCCGGGTGCACGTCAGCTCCCATACGTGCTGGGAGGGGGTGTGCACACGCGTGTGCATTCGCAGAGCCCGCTCTCCCGGCTGCCGTCTCGGTCCCTTTGTGCTGCTGTGACGAAGCGCCTGAGGGGCGCCTGCCCCGTGTCCTCACGCGGGAATGTTCCGGCTGCACGAGGCCCCGTCATCGCGGCCTCAGTTGGGTTCACGAGCGCGGGGCCCTCTTGGTGTCAGCCTCCAACACTGCCGCGTTGGGATTAAGTTTCCAGCTTTTCACAGGGGACAGAAACACTCAAACCACAGGGCGAGTTGTCTTGTGTGGTCAGAAAGACAACCGTGGCCACGGCCGCGTGGGCTCAGCGCCAGTAGTTCTCCGAGCCGAGGGGCCTCTTCCCCACCTGCCTCCGCGGCCCTGGGCCTGCTCTGCCTGGCCCGTCCCGCCCCAGCTCGGGGCTCCGCCTGGCGCATCACGGGAAGGAGGCGGGAGGGATCGTCTACCTGGGGGCCGCGGCTGATGTCCTCCCCGTGGGACGCAGCGGAAGAGCCTGTTTCCCTCAGCAAGTGGCGGATTGAGCGCCCAGGCCTGGGAGGCGTGGCCTGACTTTCGAAAGTGATTTCACCCAACTTAGAGGTTCTGGACGCAGAGGCCCTCCCCGGTCTCGCAGGTGCCTCCGGGCAGGAGCAGCTTCCGATGCCTCGTCTAGAAGGCGCTGCGTGCGCTCTTGGGCGCCTGGCGTTCTCTGGGTCGGGGTGTGTGGGAGGAAGGACAGTTTGTGGATAAAGACGTGTCCCTGAGCTGAGGACCAGAGGTGACTGGCTGGTGGCAGACGGGGTCCCCAGGGCCACCCCCACCCGAGCCCCCGTCTGCTTTCATTTTGCTCCTTCTGCGCTGACCCCAGATTGTCTTTCCCGCAGCAGGAGATGGGAGCCCGAGAGAGAACGTCCCGTTTGTCAACAACGTCGAGATGGAGAGAGAGAGTTTCTTTGAAGGGAAGAACATGGCACTTTTCGAGGTAATTTTATCTTCTCTAGGAAAGGCCCAGGGCGGTGTCTGTAATGTGGACAGTGAGGCAGCAGCACCGGGCGCCCCCGGGCCGCGGTCGGCCGAGGTTGAGCAGAGGCTCTGCCCGCACGGGGTCCCAGGCAGGGGACCGTGCGTGTCCCGAGGGCCTCAGGGGAGCCCGGTCTCCCGCTGCTGCGTGGGCAGAGCCCTCGCCGGGCGCTCCCTGGTCTGAGCTGTCCTCCCTGGGCGGTGGTCCTGACCTCTGACCTATAGCGCAGGCGCCCAGGCCTCACGGGCTTGCGTGGGACCATGTGTAGAGCCTGAGCGCAGGGTGGGAGCTCGCGGGGCTGGTGCCGCGGACGCGGGTGTGGGAGGGCGCGTGCACGGCCCGCCGTGACGGCTGCCCCCACGTGCAGGAGGAGATGGACAGCAACCCCATGGTGTCCTCGCTGCTCAACAATCTGGCCAACTACACCAACCTGACCCAGGGCGTGGTGGAGCACGAGCAGGCGGAGGACAGCCGGCGCCGCGCCGCCCAGGTACTGACCCTTCCCCCCCCACCGCTGCCCGCGCCAGGTGCCCACCCGGCCTCGCAGCCACGCGGCTCTGCCACCCGTTCCTGCCTCTGTTCTCCGTCCTGTCACCCTCGCGGCCCGTCCAGGGACACACGGTGCCCAGCATGTGGCCCCCCAGTTTGGGCGGGAACGGAACTTGGGGTGCCCTGGACGACACGGCTCAGAGGCCGAGGGGCCGCGGGACCCCCACGTGCCCAGGGCAGCAGCGGCCCCCTTTCTGTTTCTGAATCACAGGCACTGAGCCTGACACCGTCTTCCTAGGAATTTCATTCCCAGAGATCGTACCTGGGAGTCCGTCCTAGGAGGTGGGAGGAGCGGGGGGCTCCGTGGAAGACGCTCCAGTGGGTCAAAGCGCGGAAACCGCTTAAGCGTCAGTGCCGGGAAGGGCCGGCCCAACCGGGCAGAGCTCGTCCAGACTCTGCTGCCTTCGGTGGTGGCTTCCTCCAAGTGGGGTCAGGACGCTGCGGTTTCCGCCCAGGGTTGCGTGGAGCTGCGACTTCTCAGTCTCACGGGGCAGCGGCCTCTCCCTCCTCCGGCCCCGTGCCCCGATCCGCAGAGCTGTCCTGGGGCGAGGGTCAGAGACCTGCGCCAGGCCCCTCCTTTCCCTCCCTGCCTAGTTTTCCCGTAACTTCCCCAGCGACGGCTCCCCTCGGTGGGGGCTGCAGGCGGAAGCTGCTGGGTGCTGGGGGTCCGTGGTGCTGCCTGGGGACGTGGTGGCTGCCACGTGGCCCCAGGGGACCCTCCTTGTCCTCTCCTGTCGCCGTGGCTGTGCAGCTCTCAGCGGGGCGGGGTCTGGAGCCCCCGGGACACGCCGCCTCCCTTGCAGACCCCGCGCATGGGCACGTTCATCGGCGTCTACCTGCCCTGCCTGCAGAACATCCTGGGTGTGATCCTCTTCCTGCGCCTGACCTGGATCGTGGGCGCTGCTGGCATCCTGGAGTCCTTCCTCATCGTGGCCGTGTGCTGCTCCTGCGTGAGTGTCCCCAGAGGCTCCAGGCAGCTGGAAAGTAGGGACAGCAGGGCCACGTCTAATCCCGAGAGCCACGGCTGTCCAGGGCCTGCTCTTCCCGTAGAGCCGCCTCCTCCGCCAGAACCGGGACAACCGCAGGGAGGACAGGCCGGGCGGGCCGGTCTGGTTACCCATCTGTCCGGCGGAGTCGTACCCGCCTGCTTCTGCAGAGGCGTCTCAGCACCGGCAGCTCGGTGCTCCCCGGGGGACAGCCGCCACTGCTCTGTGGGTCCGGGGTTCGGCAAGGTCTTCCAGTTGGGAGGACCTCGGCATTTGCCAGGAGCCGTGGTGGAGAAAGGGACCCAGGGCAGCCCCAGGCCGGGTGGCACGGCCTACTGGGACCTGCCAGAGCTGCCACGTGGGCCCGGCTCACCCCACTGTCCCCAGAGCTCCTGTCCCCAGCCTTTTCCCCTTTGTTTTTGTTTGGAGGAGCAGCATTTAGTTGTTTTGATCACCCCGGGTGGCGACGGGACGTCCTGGTTCCCGCAGACGGGGCAGCCTTGCAGTGCGCCGGGAGCTGGGTGCGCAGATGGTGTTCTTGTGCCCCGCGGGCGGTGGGCACTGAGCGAGGTCCCCCTCGCACCCCCAGGGGAGGCAGGGCTGAGCCAGTCTTCTGGGACCGGTCTGAGTCTGATGTTCCCGGGCAGCTCTGTGCGCCGAGTACCGAAGGGACAGAGCTGGGGGGCCGTGGCCTGGCGCCCTGAAGCTCCCTGCCCTGTGGCTCAGCAGCTCCCGGGACCAGAGGCTGGGAGCGTGTGGCGGGGCGTGGGGGGCGGCCACAGACCTGTGCCCCATGGAGCATCTGTCGCCGGTGAGCTCTTGGAAAGCTCCTGCTCCTAAAACGGCTGCCTGTTTTTCGCAGACGCTGCTGACCGCCATTTCCATGAGCGCAATTGCTACCAATGGAGTGGTGCCAGGTAAGGGGTCCCGTCCGCTGCGCAGCCCTCGGACGTTTTGGGTCAATCTGCTTTGCAGGGCGCCGTAACTGCGCCAGGTGCGCGGTGGGTTCCGATTCCTTCTCCACTTCCGTGAAGACAGTGACTGTGCCATTAGCCCTGCACCCGCGGGTGGCGCTAGGGCACTGTGTTCCTCACGATGGGGCAAGCAGCCCCTGTCCCCGACGGCCCTGGGGGACACACCTGTGCCCACCTGTCTGCCGTCGGTGACTGAGGAGGGAGCTCTGCGTCCAGGCCCGTCCGGACAGCGCTGCTCTCGCCGGCATGCGGGATGGGTGCTGGTGTCCCTGGTCTCTGGCGTCCCCGAAGACGTGGCGGGACTTTGCTAAACCAGGGGGCGGCGCTGCCGACGGGCTCGCCCCGCAGGGCCGGCCGCAGGCTGTTGCTGTGGAGTTCGCGCTGGAGCGGGGTCTTCAGTACACGCCCTGGAGTGTTTCCTGCTCTGATTTATACCTTTGGCCTCTGGACAAAGGGCCGTGTTCATTCCAGGCCCGTACTTCCTCGTGGTTCTGAATTGTAACTTCCCGTGAGCAGCCCGCAGTGGTTTTCTCCTGCTCCGTGGGGCTGCCTGGGGGCCTCTGGTCTCTGCTGGCTCCTCTGGGCACTGGGGCCCCAGAAGTTGTGGCCGCGGTTTTCTCCCGACTTCACCGCGTGGCCGCCATCTGTCCCGGGACGGGCAGCGCCCGTGGGCGGGGGCCCAGGTCGTGGAGTGGGTGTTTGCAGCTTTTTCCTAGTCTGGTTTGGGGCCTGTTGTGCCTTAGGCTGAGTTCTTGGAACGTTTATCCCGTGAGAAAAGGTGACACGCTCTCCCCAACTCTGATTAATAACGATAAATCGGCTACAGCACTGACGCACGAACTCCAACGACGCCAGTCCTGTTCCCTGCAGCCCGCGTGTCCCTGTGTGTAACCTGCCCATCACTGGTGCCCCACCCCGAGCACCCCCCAGAGCTCTCAGCAGGGAACCGCCCGAGCCGGCCGGCGGGGGACGCACTCGCGGAGCAGCCCCTCCCAGCCGTGCAGTCGCGGAGAGCGAGTAGGGCCTCGCCTCGGCCCCCGGGCAGCCGTGGGCGCCGGCTCCGCGCTGTCGGGGAGCCCCTTCCTCGGGCGTGGCGCAGAGCCCAGCGGGAAGGCGGGGCCCAGGGTTGCCCAGACGTTCCCGGGTCGTCGAGCCTGCGGGTCTGCGTCCAGGCGCAGTGTCAGCTGGGCGGATAGACTGGGGGGCCGCGGGCCCCCGCTGCGCAAAGAGGCTGTTTAAGTGTGAGGTTCGACGCACCAAACAACCCTAAACGGCCTGGGTCGTTTCTCTTTGGCCTTTTTTAAAAAACAGCAGTTAGCAGAACGGGGGTGGGTCTGACGCTGAAACACGCAGAGCTTTCGGTGGGAGCCATCTGGGAGCTCCGCGCCGCGATGCAGGTGGCGGCTTTTAGTCCCCGTCCTTGGTCATGGTTTCCATGAGAAAACTGCCAGCCTGGAGCTGCTGGGGTCTCATGGTGACAGCCCCCCAGCCGGGCGCCTCCTGGGGACGTCAGGGCAGGGTGGGCGGCACTCCTTGCACGGTGCGCTCTGCTCCGCGGCATCTGAATTCGCGGTGAGCAGCGCGTCCCTAACCCGCCGTCTATCCCCCGCTATTTGCGTTGCAGCCGGCGGCTCCTACTACATGATTTCCCGGGCGCTGGGGCCTGAATTTGGAGGCGCCGTCGGCCTCTGCTTCTACCTGGGCACGACCTTCGCGGGGGCCATGTACATTCTGGGGACCATCGAGATTTTCTTGGTGAGTGGCGTTCAGACGCTTCCCTGGCCGGGCCCCGCCCCGGCGAGTTTATGGGGACGTGGCGCTCACCGGGCCCCACCCCGGCCCCCGGCTCTGGACGCCCTGCGCGCCGGGCTCTTGAGGCTGTTGGCCTCACCTCCTCGGTGTTGGTTGACGCCTCCCCAGGACTGGCCCCACCGTGTTCCCCACTTGATTTATCCGTGTGCTCCACGGGGCTCACGGCCCAGCAGGGCGCTGGCCGGCAGATGTCCCAGTCTTCCAGGAGTGTGGCCAGCTACGCCGGTCACCACGCGAGTGCCCAAGTCCCTTTTCTGTTCTCAGGACCTGCGAGGCCCCGGGACCCCCTCTGAGCAACCCCATCCTCAGTCCTTCTGCTCCCCCTCCCCTGCCAAACCCGGTTCCCGGCACCCTGGGCTGCTGGAGCCAACTGTGGGGTCTGAGAAGGTTCCAGAACCTCCCAGTGGGTTGGGCTGCCCTTGTGTGGTGCTGGGGCTTGGGAGTTGGGTCTTCGGGGCAGGTCAGCCCTGGTGGTGCCGTGACGACACCTCGCCCCTCCCCTGCAGACCTACATCTCGCCCGGCGCGGCCATCTTCGAGGCGGAGGCGGCAGCCGGCGAGGCGACGGCCATGCTGCACAACATGCGCGTGTACGGCACCTGCACGCTGGCGCTCATGGCCGTGGTGGTCTTCGTGGGCGTCAAGTACGTGAACAAGCTGGCCCTGGTGTTCCTGGCCTGCGTGGTGCTGTCCATCATGGCCATCTACGCCGGCGTCATCAAGACGGCTTTCGACCCCCCGGACATCCCGTAAGTCCCAGGGCCGTCCCGGGGCCCCCGCGTCGTGGTTGGCGCCTGGGCCGGGGTCCAGCCCCGTGGGTGCCATCCTGCCTCCCGGGAGCAGGTGCATTGTGGGCTTGGGGGACCCTCCCTCCTGGGCTCCCACAGGTGTGACCGCGGGTGAGGCGGGTCCAGCGCCCCCCACTGCTGCGTCTGGCCGAGTCTGCAAGGGCAGGAGGCACGCGGGACCGTAGGTGCCGTGGGGGCCGGCAGCGCATAGACCGTCCTGGGTGGGGCCCACTCCCTCATCCTCACAGATGCCCCCAATGGCCTCTGCTCTTGTCCTCCTGGAAGGGCAGTTGGGGGAGATGTCCGGGGTCCCCGACTGCATGGAGCACAGGCTGCCGGGCGACCCAGCCCCAGGGCAGGGCTGAGGAGAGGTCTGGCTCTCCGGCCAGGCCAGGTGGGGGCCTCTCCAGCTCCCACTCCATGGCAGGGTGTCCACAATGGGTGTCCACAGTGGGGGTGTCGACGGCAGGGTGTCCACAGTGGGGGTGTCCATGGCAGGATGTCCACGCAGGGTGTCCACAGCAGGGGTGTCCTCTGCAGGGTGTCCACGTGGGGTGTCCACAACACGGATGCTGGACAAAGGGAGGGGTCATGAGATCGCATGCACACTTACACTCTCAGAACAGTGTGTAGTAGAACCCTTGTGACTGATTTCTGGAATTTCCACTTGGCACGTTTGGACGGGGGCTGGCTGAGGGAGGCTACTGAGCAGTGCAGGGACTTACTGGGGCCCAGTGTAGGCGCTGGTGCCTCGCGCGCCCAGTGGCCCTCCTGCCACGGAATGCATGGTGTCAGAAGAGAAGCCACTTCTGGGGACACTTGGAGACCACACTGGTTACCTGGGAAGCGGCCGCAGGCGTGATGTCTTCCCTGCCCCCAGGGTCTGCCTCCTGGGGAACCGCACCCTCTCGTGGCGCGGCTTCGACATCTGTGCCAAGGTGCACGGGGACAGCAACCGCACGGCCACCACCGCGCTCTGGGGCCTCTTCTGCAACGGCTCCCAGCCCAGCGCCACCTGCGACGAGTACTTTGCCCAGAACAATGTCACCGAGCTGCAGGCCATCCCTGGCGTGGCCAGCGGCGTCTTCCTGGGTAAGGGCCCCGTGGCGCCTTGGGGCAAGCCTGGGTGGGGTGCTGCCGCCGTGTCTCTGGGCCCCATCCAGCCCAGCGCGAGGTGGGGACAGCTCTTCCATCGGGGCTGGCGGGTCGCTTTGGGTCCGTTCATTGTCATGACTGCATCTTGGCGGCAGGGGGGCGCCTGGGGACAAAGGACGTGTTAACGGTGGCGACTTAACAGGATTTTCCCGTCTGCTTCCTTCCCTCATGAAGAGACAGAAGTGACTGCCCCGCCCCAGCCCAGGGCCAGGCCTGAGGTCTTAGGGAAAAGGACACTGGCAGGGTCCCTCCAGAGGGACGTGCCCTTAGAGCAGTTCGGGACACACGTATTGCGCAAGTGACGTTTTTCTTGAGCGCGGAACGCTGTTCTAGATGGGGAAGGCACCTTCTCAGAGCTCAGCGTTTTAGAGCTGGCTTCCTTGTTTGAGGTCGGAGTGCGCAGCGAGAGCACAGCCGCGACCCCTGACCTCTCGCCGCTGGCGGGGTCTATCAGGCGCGGTGGTCCCACGGTGGAAGCCCTGATGGAAAGTGCCGGAATCCCGTCAGGAACTGACCTTGCCTGGCCTGTTTTCCCCCACAGAAAACGTGTGGAGTGCGTACGCGGACAAGGGGGCGTACGTGGAGAAGAAGGGTGTCCCCGCGGTGTCCGCGCCTGAGGAGAGCCGCGATAGCCGGCTGCCCTACGTGCTCTCGGACATCACCACCTACCTGACCCTGCTGGTCGGCATCTACTTCCCCTCCGTGACGGGTGAGGCCGGGGCGCGCCTGCCGCCTCTCTCTGTCGCTGTCTCTTTATCTCCGTTCTCTCCTCCTCTCTCTCTCTGTCTCTGTCTCTGTCTCTGTCTCTGTTGCTGTCTCTCTGTTCCTCTCTGTCTCTGTCTTTGTCTGTCTCTGTCTCTGTTGCTGTCTCTCTGTTCTTCTCTCTCTCTGTATCTTTGTCTCTGTCTCTGTGTCTTTCTGTCTGTGGCTCTTTATTTCCGTTTTTCTTTCTTTCCGTCTGTTTCTGTCTTTGTCTCTCTGTGTCTGTCTCTATTTCTGTCTCTGCGTCTCTCTGTCTTTGTCTCTCTGTTTCTGTCTTTGTCTCTGTCTCTGTTGCTGTCTCTCTCTCTATGTGTATTTCTGTCTCTGTCTCTGTCTCTGTGTCTCTGTCTCTATCTCTGTCTCTGTCTCTCTGTCTCTGACACGCTCATTCGTCCGCCTTTCTTGCGTGTTTGGCTTGGGGCACGGAGCGGGCTCCCGTGCTCCGGGCATGTTCTGAGTGGCTGCGGGGTCTGTGACGGTGTCACGAGGCTGCCCCGGGTGTGGGACGCTGAGCCGCGAGCTGCCGTCAGGCGGCCTCAGGAGCGGGACCTCAGCCCCCTGTGCCCTTACCCGAGTGGGCCGCGCTGTCCTGGTCGGGTCCGGGCCCTCAGGTCGTGCCAGGTCGCGTCTGACGTCCCTCCGCATGTGCGCGCACCTGTGTGGCCGTGGCTGCCCCTCTGCTGCCCACCACGCCTGCTCCAGGGCCGCCTCCTGGACTCCGTCCCGGCCCGGAGCCCGGACACAGTGACAGGACGCTCGGCCTGCCGGGCTGGGGTCTCTCCGGAAGGCGGCGAGTGGGTGGCCCTGGGGTCCGAGTGCGCGTGCTGCACAGCGGTCGGAGCAGGGTCCCCGCGTGGCTGCATGTGCTCAGCACGCCTGTGGCCCCCGTGTCTCTACTGCCCCGGACGCCACCTTGAGCACACAGACGCTTCTGGCTAACCATGCAGTGGGGTCAGATGGGCTGTCCAGTCAGCCCCCCGGCTGGGCCTCGCTGAGCTGGGTTTGCATTCCTCGCACCTGACACGCCACGCGGGGACTGGAGCGTGGTGACCGCTGACGTGGGCGCGGCAGCAGAAGGGGTCAGTCTGCGGGCACCGGGCTCCGAGTGCCGCCAGGTCATGTTCTCGTGATCCTCCTGTCCACGTTGGGCCCTGGGTCAGGCAGCGTCTGGCCATGTCCTCCTGGGAGCCCGGCTCTCGACTGGGAACACAGAGGCCACCGGAGCCCGTGGGCAGGGGGCGCCGCACACCCGAGTCTGGCCTGATCTTCGTCCTGCGGCCACCGTCCTGCGGTGTGGACAGGCAGGGTCTGGACGGTGGCCTCCTTCTCGGGGGCACTGGCCTCGTGCAGATTCGGGCTGTCCCAGAGGCCACCTTTCCAGCTCATGGCAGTCACACTGGGTCTGGTAACCATGGCGATTATTTCTGCAGGCATCATGGCGGGCTCGAACCGCTCCGGGGACCTCAAGGACGCCCAGAAGTCCATCCCCACAGGGACCATCTTGGCCATAGTGACCACATCCTTCATTTGTATCCTTGAGTCAAGGCCTGGAGGTGGGTCTGTGACCTCGGCCCCCAGACCCTTGCCGGGTGCTGCGTGGCACCCGTGGGAGGGCTCCCAGGGTGAGGGGTTCTGGCCACAGTGCCCGCCCTGGAGACAGCTGGTCATGTGGTACGTGGTCGGTCTGTCACACGTGTGTGATGCTGTGGGGACAGCTCTGGGCGGCACGTAGTGCCCCACGGTGTGCGTGTGGCTGGGTGTGGCTAGGTCGCTGGCTTCTGACGTCCCCGAGCCCTGTCCGAGCTCCGTTTGTGGAGCTGGGGGGTGCCCTGAGGGCCACCAGGGTCACACGTGTGCCCAGGACAGGGGTGGGGCGCAGGGGCGCTCCGGCCCGCCTGGGGCCCGGGACCAGCATGTCACGTGCACCTGAGACCCGCTGTTCCTTGACTCGCGCCGCAGATCTCTCCTGCATTGTGCTTTTCGGGGCCTGCATCGAAGGCGTGGTCTTACGAGATAAGTACGTTTCCGTCTGCGGCTCACACTCCTGCGCTCAGGGCTCTTCCCGGGGGGGCGTCAGCCTCATGATGAGAGCAGCCCTAGGACGTCACGGTGTCCGTCCAGAGCAGACAGCCGTCCCGGCACTGGGGTTCGCCCCCCTTGTCTGGCTCAGGTCACGTGTTGTTCCTTCTGCTGGGCCGGGCGCTGCTCAGAGCAAACCCCGAGCCCTGGTGCAGCGGGGGGCTCGGCCGTGGGCCCCTCCAGGGAGGCCATGAGGATGGGGCTCGGAGCTGGGACCCTGGGAGACCCCAGCCCTGCTGCCAAGTGCGGATGTAACAGAAACCCCAGCAGGGCATCCGCTGACCCTGCGCCTCGAGGGGTCCTGGGTGGTCCCCGGCAGTGTGGCTTGGCGTCCGCGGGTACAGAGGCCGTGCCGACCCCGCCAGGCTGGCTCTTCCTGCTCCGGGAGTGGCTCCGAGGGGAGGGGGACGCCCCCGCCTGTGAGGACTGGCCAGGCGGGTGGACTGTGTCTGGGGTCTGTAGCCCGGCGGCCGGGGGCCCCCGGGAGGCCCCTCGTGGGGAAGGTGCGTCTGCGGGGTGCTGTGAGCTCGCTCGCACAGGTTCGGGGAGGCGCTGCAGGGGAACCTGGTCATCGGCATGCTGGCCTGGCCCTCGCCCTGGGTCATCGTCATCGGCTCCTTCTTCTCCACCTGCGGCGCTGGCCTGCAAAGCCTCACGGGGGCGCCCCGCCTGCTGCAGGCCATCGCCCGCGACGGCATCGTCCCCTTCCTCCAGGTGAGCCCCGCTGGCTGCGCTGACCCAGGCGGGCGCCTGGCTCCCCTGAGGGGTGGCCGCAGAAGGTCAGGGCCGTCCGTGGGGCCCCCGAGGCTCGGCCTGGCCCCTAGGAAGGGCGGGCTCGTGTGTTCAGCTTGTCTCTGAAAAGGGAGGCGTTTCTCCTGCTCCTGCGGCCACCTGCCCACCTGCCCTCCCCCGCAGGTGTTCGGCCACGGGAAGGCCAACGGGGAGCCCACCTGGGCCCTGCTGCTCACGGCCCTCATCTGCGAGATGGGCGTCCTCATCGCCTCCCTGGACAGCGTGGCCCCGATCCTGTCCATGTGAGTCGTGGGGGACAGGGTGGGCGTGAGGGCCGCGGGAGGGCTGGCTCGGCAGTGGGACCAGGGACACAGTGTGCGGGACAGATGCCTGCTGTGGGGGGCAGTGGCCATAGGACAGCAGAGGCCCGGGGCCCAACTCTTGTCCATGAGACTCTCGGCTGTTGTGCAGAGGCACGTGGG